ATATAAACAACAACAAACCATGATGAGATAATATAGTAAAAGCATATGAAATATATGAATCTTCCGTCAACACGCCCCCACAGAAATAAGAATAATTTGACACAGCCCGGCTTGCATAGTTCAGCATCCATAATTTTAGCTGAGAGTTATATATGAAAAGCTCAAGTTTCATAACTGTCTCGTATTAAGGCAAGTAAATCCAAATTTACCTGGAAATCGGAGAAATTGAGGTTTTAAATCTTCCAACATTTGAACAAGGTCCTTCCGAAATCCATGTCCCTGATCCAATATAATAGTTTCATAAAGAGTAAAAAGGCACCTAAGGTATGCATGTAGCAAAGCATATCACACAGCTCCTTACAAGTTACACGTTGAAAGCTGGCAAGCCAATAAATATAAGGGCATAAAATTTAATAAATTAGATCAACTTCCAACATGACCGAAATTTAACCTGCAAAGTTCAAACTTGTATGCCTGCAATTTTTCAACTTCTTTTTAAAGTATTCCTGAATACTCTGTTTCGTTCTTTTTTTCATCATAAGAAACACAATCTCACTAATCACAAATGATCTAGAAAAAGGAGACATAAACTAAAAATCAAAACATCATCCCAACCTAATAAATCCGGTAGTAAAACGACAGCTCCAAGATCAAGTCATAAAGAAAACATCCCTAAAGACTATCGATCCAAACATGGAGAAACTTTCTATCAATATTAATGGCAGTAACAGAATTGTGAAGTAGAAATGATGACAGATTCAATGTAGATTATGTTGTGATCCTGTAGAAATTATATTTTCTATAGCGCTTGCTGCAATGTCATATATTTTCCAATGGTTAGGTCCATAATTCACATTCAAGAATAAACAGAGTCCAGTTTGCATTCAATAAGTCATATTCAAACAAAATATAACAACAGAAGCTAAAATAATTTATTTTAGCTGTTACATCCTCAAATGTATTGATTTCAACAGCTCCAAATTCAATTATTGCGAGAAAAGGAAGAATAATTTTAATTATGATGATACCACACTGAAGTCAATAAATATGACATATTATGTATAATTCTCTCTAAGTTACATGCCTCCACAAAACAGGAAAAAAACTGGTTTATAAATGAAGTCCAAGTAAAAGTACATTATGGAGATGATATGCAATTCAAAAATTGGTACCGACAGAAGCAGGATTTTAAAGGAAACTCCAAGCATTCTTGAATGACAGAACTAAAAAAGATACCTACTCGGAGAAACTCAAAATAACCAAGTCCGTCGTCAGTCCAGTACATCCAAACATCACCAAAGTGTCCAGGTCTCTCTTCCCAGGGTCCAATTGTTTCTTTCCAACGAAATGCATTTCGTAGCTGTGCACCTTGGACGAAACAGCCGCCTAATGCAACACAATAGAAAATAAAAAATTAATTTTTTTGAATTATGAGGAAACAATATAATAGCTCCGCTGTATTGACCATATTAGAACATGTATCATCTCTTATCACAATATCAAGTGGAGGCGATCAAGCCAGCTAAAAAAATTCAATAGTATATAATGTCCAAAAGATAAAAATGAAAAGAATTTCAGAGGAAACAGTGGATGTAGTTTATATCTGCAGGTAAAACTGATAGCAGCCAAAGAAGGACAAGGTTACTTTTATTTAAGCTTGTTTAATAAAGATCTGCATCTTTGTAAAGAAACAGGATTTTTTTTTTCCCATTAAGATTTCAATCATTTTGCTTACAAAGTTTCTGTGAAGCCTGCTTTTCGCTCAGAGGCTTGAGAAAATTAGTAAATACCATAGAACATTGGTAGATATAAACAACAACAAACCATGATGAGATAATATAGTAAAAGCATATGAAATATATGAATCTTCCGTCAACACGCCCCCACAGAAATAAGAATAATTTGACACAGCCCGGCTTGCATAGTTCAGCATCCATAATTTTAGCTGAGAGTTATATATGAAAAGCTCAAGTTTCATAACTGTCTCGTATTAAGGCAAGTAAATCCAAATTTACCTGGAAATCGGAGAAATTGAGGTTTTAAATCTTCCAACATTTGAACAAGGTCGTTCCGAAATCCATGTCCCTGATCCAATATAATAGTTTCATAAAGTGTAAAAAGGCACCTAAGGTATGCATGTAGCAAAGCATATCACACAGCTCCTTACAAGTTACACGTTGAAAGCTGGCAAGCCAATAAATATAAGGGCATAAAATTTAATAAATTAGATCAACTTCCAACATGACCGAAATTTAACCTGCAAAGTTCAAACTTGTATGCCTGCAATTTTTCAACTTCTTTTTAAAGTATTCCTGAATACTCTGTTTCGTTCTTTTTTTCATCATAAGAAACACAATCTCACTAATCACAAATGATCTAGAAAAAGGAGACATAAACTAAAAATCAAAACATCATCCCAACCTAATAAATCCGGTAGTAAAACGACAGCTCCAAGATCAAGTCATAAAGAAAACATCCCTAAAGAGTATCGATCCAAACATGGAGAAACTTTCTATCAATATTAATGGCAGTAACAGAATTGCGAAGTAGAAATGATGACAGATTCAATGTAGATTTTGTTGTGATCCTGAAGAAATTATATTTTCTATAGCACTTGCTGCAATGTCATATATTTTCCAATGGTTAGGTCCATAATTCACATTCAAGAATAAACAGAGTCCAGTTTGCATTCAATAAGTCATATTCAAACAAAATATAACAACAGAAGCTAAAATAATTTATTTTAGCTGTTACATCCTCAAATGTATTGATTTCAACAGCTCCAAATTCAATTATTGCGAGAAAAGGAAGAATAATTTTAATTATGATGATACCACACTGAAGTCAATAAATATGACATATTATGTATAATTCTCTCTAAGTTACATGCCTCCACAAAACAGGAAAAAAACTGGTTTATAAATGAAGTCCAAGTAAAAGTACATTATGGAGATGATATGCAACCAAGAAAAACTATATCTGAGAAAAAGATGTTCTAGACCCTTATATAACAGATAGGTGGTCTAAAAGCATAATGCATCCTTCATCGTAATACTCCACCCCTAGTATGAACTTCGCGTTAATCAGCTTTCATATTAATGTCTTTCAAAAGACTATAAAATCTAGAATTTCAAAACAGAACATTATACTTGTAACAATCTTGTGAAACACGGGTGAGACGATTAAACACATCCAAATATTGGCGACATAATCTCACGTCACGAGAAGGAGTGAATTTGTGGAGAAAAAAGGTACCTTATATGTATCCAGGGGCATGACTGACACTTGATCAAACCATATTAACCCTTTTCTGGTTGTTGTCAATTGCAGTCTTGAATTAGGATTTGTTCCTTGGGCTTCCAACATAAATTCGAATTTTGTCAAGTTTGAAACTTCTGAACCAGAAGCTCTGCAAAGGCAATGAAATGAACTGTCAGACTCTTATACTTATATGGAGATAAAACTGTCAGTAAGGAACTGCTGATTACTGCATCTTTGTAAAGAAACAGGATTTTTTTTTTCCCATTAAGATTTCAATCATTTTGCTTACAAAGTTTCTGTGAAGCCTGCTTTTCGCTCGGAGGCTTGAGAAAATTAGTAAATACCATAGAACATTGGTAGATATAGTGGACAGCAGGCAAATATAAACAACAACAAACCATGATGAGATAATTAGTACAAGCATATGAAATATATGAATCTTCCGTCAACACGCCCCGGGGCCAAGGTGGCCACAGCCCGGCTTGCATAGTTCAGCATCCATAATTTTAGCTGAGAGTTATATATGAAAAGCTCAAGTTTCATAACTGTCTGTTCTCTTGTCAGACAAATACTTATGTTGCAAACTGTGAATTTGGAACATAAGCATTTAGAATGAACCCATTAGATGATAGTTGAAGGGTTCATACCATGCCCCAGAACCCAGGATTATAAATTCCTACACCATCATCAGGGCAGCTACTGGCACCTTGGCTATCACATAGCACCTCCATTCGGAGTGCAACCTTATTGCGGTCAAAGCATGAAGAACGGTCCGTTGACACTATCAAAGATGACTCATTCCCAATTATTGACCAAGGATCAATGTTGGAAGGAACGTTTGGGCCCCCAGCTTCAAAACCTGTGGGAAAACGTGATGAAGAAGCCTCAGCTCTAAACATTCAGTCAAAATTACGAGCCAAAAGCTAACTATAACATTTTATATTTAGCAATACAGTGAATTCCACATTTCACAAGATTCCGAAGAGAACTTTTTAACCATCTACTGATAATCTTAAGTCATTCAACCTGTTGTTGAACTTCAAACTGACAACACAGAAAAGAAATCAAAGGAAAAAAAAAATGAGGGATCTGGTAGTGCATGTTAAATGCAGAGAGTAAGATGGAAATCAGTGTGTCACAAAAAAAGTAGAATATTTCTCCAGTTTGTACTCAACCACACTTGCACAAGCAGGTAGCACAGTAACTCAAATACAACTTTGCATAAAAAAAACATTCATAGGATAATCCTAAACATCTCAATGAAGAGTTAATCCAACAGTAAAATGTTTCAGGAAGACACCATAACCCTCCACTTCCAATATATAAGAACAGAAAAAATGGTGTCTGCCAGCTTGACTCATACTACATATATCAGATTTGAAAAGAAACTCTGAAAATGTAATGACAGCAGAAAGGCATTCAAACAGTTACTTCAATGGTTCTCGCACACATGAATTTTGAACTTTCTTGTTAGAATGCGAATCTAGACCACACATTCAAGCACAAATTATTCTGAAATGGTCTAGCTTCACAATCTAGCAACATAATAAGCATCTTATGTTGCCAAACAATCTGGCAAGAGAATATTTTCCTATATGTTATTTTCACTTTTTGTATCAGCTGGAATGCAGAGAGTAAGGGAAGTACCTCTGTTGCTTACAAGCTCAGCCCATAGCCCGCCAGCACCAGCATGGTTAATCTCCTGCAGTGAACAAGCATTTGAGAGAATGCATATACCTCAAAATTAGTAGCATCTTAAATGAAACCACAATGTTACTAATATAATGAGACAGGCATGTTTAAGCGACAGAAGGTTTATAATTGCCGCATAAATCAGGATATATCCGCACATAAGATAAAACAAAATAAGAAAACAAATGAAAAGAGATTTTAAAAATTGTAAGAATTACAGTAATAGATAACAAGCTATAGATTTTAGAAGTAACAAAAAGCAGTTGGAACTGAACAAAAATTCACTATTCCAAGCCAACACACTAACCTCAAAGAAAATTCCAAACATTGTTTCAGATATTGGCCGTCCCGATGCTTCAGAAGCATCCACCAGCAGCTTTGCTGTCTGGTTCGTATCAACTCCAAAAGCGAAAGATTGATACACAAAGCAAACCAAGACATATAGCAGAAGAACAACATGAGGGGACTTGCAAGAGCCCATTGCTCAGTTACCACACCCAATACTTCCACAGCTAAAAAAGCATACTCAAAGGAGATACTCAGTTACGTTCTGATCAATTAAACAGAAAAAGAACAAGGCAACACAACATGAGGGGACTTGAGATTGGATTCTTTCCTATTTAAATGATTTTATATCCTTGTAACGTGTTTGACACCTTCACAGACAGAAGACCAAAACATATCATACATCTGTCACCGTTGAGTTATTTGCCTTCCAACGCACACCAGACTCTTTCTCACTATTGTCTTGTCGTTGTTGACTCGGCTTGACTTGACTTGAGACTAGTTAATAACGGTGCCTTTCTGTGTCCACTCAACCTTTTAAATTTGCCTCCAATCAAGGCGGGGCACAAGCTATAATTATATTCTTGCAAATATAGACCTTGACTTAATTAAAACATATGTCTACCAACCCAATATTATTATTGTACGTATATATTTATTGATACTTATATAGTAAAGCATAAATCTTCCACCAATCACATATTAAAAATAAGATAAATTAATATTACATGCAGTGTTACGATTACTCTTAAAAATTTCTCATATTATGATCACGAAATTCTTAAGTAGGAAGGAGTATATTTAGTGCTGAATCTGATCGCTAAAGTTTCGGAGCAAGGAAGTCAAAATGTCCATTATTTTGTATTCAGCTTCACATCTATTAGATAGATGGTGCACAAGCTGGTTTGTAAAGATGGCCTCCCTAGCCATCAAGGTAAAACTATATGGATTATTTGTGACTTTTGCATAAGGCTGCAATCTATGAGATACATAAAAGAAAAGAAACAAAGTTAATTGGCTTTCTACAAAACTTATGATCTAAAATACTTTGCAGAAATGTTTGGAGATGTCCCAAATCAAATTCTTACAAACAAGACAAGTTACAAATCATTTACCAAATCAAATTCCCACTACATAAATTCCTTACAAAAAATACATATTTACCGATATATAAATGCACAGGTAGATAATAGTGAAACATTCAAAATACTAAAAATTGTCCTTGATTAAAGAATTTATCAAGTATTGAAACTTTCAATAAATAAGGATAATATAGTAAATTAATTTTTTTCATATTAAAAAAAATTCAAATTCAAATTCAAAATAAGAACATGGGTCTTAATTCATGGGACACAACTCTTTTTAAAATTTTAAAGGAAAAATAAAAAATAAAAAACTAATTGACACACACAGCTAGTATGTATCGAACAAGGAATAAAGGGTGTCGTTTAACCAAACTTCACGTCACCGCTTAGAGACTTGACTTCAAAGACTTGGACTCTTTATTTCCACCAAAGCACATTTTTAAGAGATCACTTTAAAGACTTCAAAGATTTACAATTAAGTTCTGCAGATTGCCATCGCAAAGGGTAATGCCAAGGTTCCTAAAAGGATTTTTGTGTTCACATACAGGGATTTTGAGAAGGCCTCTAAGAACAATTGGGTGCGGGATGTTAAGGAGGCTTTGGATAATTACAGAAAGAGAGGGTATTTTAATGTGCCACAGTTGATGTTCTGGAATCTTAATAACCCATATTTTTCAAAAGTGACTTATCTTTTTGAAGTGGGATGTTGCTGGTATGCTAAAAAGAAGAACATGAATTCATTTTTGGCACATCCTTTCAACTTGAGATCGGATTCTTTCCTATTTAAATGATTTTATATCCTTGTAACGTGTTTGACACATTCATAGACAGAAGACCAAAACATATCATACATCTGTTACTGCTAGAAATTAAGTTGGCCTCTAATTTCCTAGATGCAACTGGCCAAAAATTGACTTGAGACTTGAGATTAATGGACAAGAAGACTTGTGGAAATTTCGGGCTTATGGGCCAGGCTTAGGGTCTCTGGCGTAACTTTTGTGAATAGAACTTTAATGGTCGGACGGGCCCTATGTTAATGCATTCACATTGTTGGTCTGGTAAGTGTACTTTGAATTGAATTTCATTCACACTGCATGAACGAGATCGATGTATATATTTATCGCTTTTACTTGGTTGATTAAAATAACACTATAGCTGGAATTAATACATCAATGGGAGAAGTTTGAATCAATTGTTCTTACAAGTAATTAAAAATAATACAAAATCATATTTATTCCTATTAAGAAATCCAAATTAACCCATAATCTTCTGTAGATATTTGTGCAAGACACAGTAACAAATCATTACTATGATTAAAAATAAAATTAAAAAAGTTCAAGTTTGACAACAAAACTTTGGGATGGGAGAAAAGAAAAGAGAAAATTAATTGGCTTTCAGTAGCAAATGATATGATTTAAAATACTCTACAGAAAAGAACATTCATGGCAAACAATTGTTTCAAGTTCTTACAAATCATTTACCATTTAGAGTTAGAGAATTTATCAAAAATAGCCAAAACTTGATCCTTAATTTCAAAAATGTCAATTTTTGTAAAATATTTCAAATATAGCAAAAAACTTACCTATATAGACACAAATGCCCTTAAATTTAAAACTCGTATAAACATTATTAAATAAAACTTTGGAATATTTTTAACCCACGTTTGTATAGAAGAACAGAAGTTGAAATATATCATCATACTTATTGATATTTTAATCAATTTAAATCTAGTCCCGAACACCGGATAAGTGTGTTATTCAACTTAAGCCAATTCAAGCCAATACAATTTCTGAGCATAGTTCATGCCAAGACAATCTTCCGTAACAAATGAGGCTGAAGGGACCAACTTGGCAAATGACTGAAAGACTCGTTGCCGGATCAATTGCCCAAGTTTGTCCGAATGACACCATTATTTTGTCTTCTCTAAGAGCAACTCTACCAATGCACAGCAGCCCGGGTAGGACAAAGCCCAAGCCCAGGCGCGTCGTTCCAGCGGGCCAAGACAGCCCGGGCAGTGTGTGGGTCCCACGTGACTGGGCCAGCCCACAGGGGGAAGCAGCCCGAGATCCAGCCTGAGGGGAGGTGACGTCATGGCTAACGTTAGGTTAGCGTCAGCCATAGGAATTCAAATTTTTTTTACCAACAACGCGTGCGTTGCATTCGCAAATGTTTAAAAAAAATTGAATTATCGCGCCTGACGCCAGCCTGGCTTTAGCGCTGACGTTGACCAATGGTAACAAGCCACGTGACCCGTTCTGGTGCTCTGATGGTTTTTTTTTTTCAAATCCAACAGCTGGGGTTTTTTTTGGGCCAAAAAATTGTGAAAAAAATTTGAAATTTTTTTTAAAATTCACCGAAAAATTCTGAACTTTTTTTTCTATAAATACCTACCATTCTTCTTCACTTTCAACACCAAATCCTCATAAATTTCTTGTCCTTGTATTATTTTTCATTTTCATCACTTCCAATTTTCATTTTTATTCACCATCTCATGGCATCTTCCATCGAAGCCGGAGGCACATGGGCAACCATGGAAAATGTTCCCTTGTGTGAGAGTTGGGTCCATGTTGCTCATTGTCAGGTCACGGGCAATGAGATAAAATTCTCTCACATGTGGAGAGAGAAAAATTCATGCCGAATTTTGTGAAAGATCGGGTTCGAGTCGTACGGAAATGGAGAGATACATTAGAAAAAGCGAGGGACAACATTCGAAGTGGTGAAAATCTTGGCAATGAGGTAATATTTTTTTACTATGTATTGCATTTCTAATATTTTTGTAATGTTAATTGCATTTCAATTAATTTTTTTTATGTTTATTGCATTTCCAATATTTTTGTAATGTTAATTGCATTTCCATTATTGGCAATGAGGTAATATTTTTTTACTATGTATTGCATTTCTAATATTTTTGTAATGTTAATTGCATTTCAATTAATTTTTTTATGTTTATTGCATTTCCAATATTTTTGTAATGTTAATTGCATTTCCATTATTTTTTTTATGTTTCTTGCAATTCCAATATTTTTGTAATGTTAATTGCATTTCCATTATTTTTATTTTTATTTTTCTTGTAATTCCAATATTTTTGTAATGTTAATTGCATTTCCATTAATTTTTTTTATGTGTCTTGCATTTCCATTAATTTTTTGTTAATAGATTATGCAAGCACATATGTGGTTTGGTGCAATTGGGCAAGGCAAAAAAATCTTTCAACCATCAAGAATGTTGGGAGGTGGTGAAAAATTGTAAACGTTTCAGAATTATTCCCACGAGTCTGCCCGTTGTGTTAAACGAGATGGCACTCCATGATTCACCAACATCGGATTTGCCTTTGGATTCCCCGATGAGTCAAGACTTTCACCCATCGAAAAGAAGCCGAGGCGTATTGGCCAAAAGGCGGCGAAGGCGAAGAGAGCAAGTAATACATCAAAAAATTTGGAGGAAATTGCAAGGCATAGCGTTATGAGAATTGAAATAGACATGAAAACCCAAGCGAACGAGCGGGCAATTCAAGCAGAATATGCAAAAGAAAGGGAGCATGTATGCAAAGAAAACATTGACAAGAAGGATCGGGAAACCATAGCCATGAATACAAGCCACATTTCCCCTGAAACAAAACAATTTTGGAAGCTAGAACGAAGGGATGTTATGAGAAGAAGACTTTTCCATGACGATGGACCTAGCAACACGGATTGGTTAAATGATCAAAACCATTAAGTTAGTTTCCTTGCCTTTTATTTCACTGTATTTTAATGTTTTGTATTAAAGTAGTTGTAATTCATGTATTTTATTTAATTAGTAGTAATTCTTAATGACTTGTATTGGTTTTCTTTATTTAATAAACAAAGCATTCAATAAAATACCTTTATATTCAACATATTCCATACATCAAAGAAAACATAATTAAAAGGAAAACCACAACCAAAGCATAATAACAAAAAAACACAATCAAACCATAACTAAAAATAAAACATAACCAAAGCATAAATAAATAAATAAACATCAACACAAAGCCAAATTAAAACTTCCGATTGTTGATTCACTTCATTCACCGTCATTGCCTTTCACCACCCATCAATGCTCCATCAAGTCAACTTGACGTCGTTCATGAATATAAGACAATTGCATCTCCGTATATCGATCAATCATACAAGTCATGAAATGACCGTCCCTAACCAACGGTTCATGCTCCAATGGTTGTCCATTTGGCCCCATGGGCCTTTCATATATTCTTGTCAAGGCC